TCAAAAATCTTACCCCTGAGAACCTCCATCTGAAATTGGCATTCGTCTAACTGGCCTTACAGTTTGATTACTTGAGTTTGAAGGTCGCTACATTGGGCCTCCACGCCCTTACTGAGCTCGAGCTCCTCTTCCTTGCTCTTTAACGTTCCCTTGAGGACGCTGAACTTTTTCACAGCCACCATCAACTCCTCATCCTTCTTCTTCAAATATTCTCTTAAGGCCAGCATGGCGCCTCCCTCACAAAGCCGCCTTCGAAGATCTCGGTACTTCTCACGGCACTCTGTATACTTTCCCCTCAACTTCACATAAATTTCTTGACGTATTTTCTCCCTTCGAGCACTCTCGATTTCTAGAATGATTGTGCCTAAATATAAGAAAAGAATTTAGAACTTAAAAATAAGCTAAGGCATAAGGAAAAGGGCGGATAATAGTCGTACTACCCTGAGAGCGAGACCGGCGATATTCTTCGACAAAGTACCGTCGGTTATCTTCTTGAGGTTCTCACAATCGACTTCAGAACAGAGAGAACCGAGAGAAGGGACTACCTCCTCAGTATTTACAAGAAAATCGTGATCCATTGGGATCATGATAGTCCTAGAGCCTCCCTTCATCCTCACCTCGAGTTGGGTGAGCCCCTCTTCGATCATTCTTAGATCCTTCAGGTCCATGTCGGAATCAAATTCATCGTCCTCCTCAGCGATGGCTTTCCCTCTATCACTGATTAGCGAAGAGACATCCTTTGTCGCCCTGGAGGATGAAGCATCCTCTTGCCTCGAAAGTGCGGGCCGCTATCAAGTGCCACCTCCACAACCGTCTCCCTCTCTGGATGCACCAACACGTCCATGGCCGCCTCTTCCAGTTATGGGGCCTTGAAGCTCGCCCCAACACCCTCTCCAATATGTATTGTTCCGTCTCTCGAAGAATAAAATCATTCTCCATTGAGTCAACGGCCACGGGAATCCCCTCCCCAGCATCCACAGCTTTCCTCTTGCGATGCCTTAGGTCCCCGTCATGGGGGGAGACTTATTCACCCTCATCAACTAGCGAGAACAGCTGAGGAGCAGAGGCAAAAGTCGAGATGGAGGTAGATTTCGAGGTCGCAGCAGTAAGGACGGTGGCGGGTGTAGAAGGTGTAGTAGCCACGACGGGGGTAGAAACCAAAGGCATAGCAGCCTTTCTTCTAAAAGAGGGCACATGCACCCTGCTCCTTCGAGAAGACCCCTTAACTGGACCTGGGAAAGGAAAAAACATAGAAGTTTACAACGAAGCAAACCAACATACAACAAAGAGAAACAACAATCACGACCAGAAAGAGAAGTTGCCTACGGAAGGGAGAGCCGGCCTGAACTTCTGAAAGAAGCTCAGCCAATCGCAAATCCCCATGGTGTAGGGAAGAATTTGCTCGACCAAGTGAGCAATATGTATAGCTAGAGGGGGAGGATGTTAGCTGCGGAAGGAAGAATTAAATAATTGATTCGAAAAAAGATGAAGAGATGCAAAGAGTAAAGACAAGAGAAACCTGGACACTTACGTGTATGGTTCCAAGCCTCAGGTAAGTCGCCGACATTTGCCATGACGGCCTTAGTTTTGACGGAAAAGAAGTCGATCCAGACTTGGCAGCTAGCCTTGTCGTCCCTTCTCACCACCAAGCACTTGCCTCCGCAGTGACGAATATTTAACATCGTCCTTTTGTAGAAGCTAGGTGCGAATAGGTGGACCAGATGCCGCACAGTCACCTCGACTCTGGCAAGCTCAGCAAATTTAGTCAGCATCTTGATGACTTGTAAACATAGGGGGTGAGCTGAGTGGGGAAAATGACATAGTTGTGGCAAAACTCCTTCACCGGCGGGAGAAGAGAAAACAAATAACCGATAGTAAATGGGTAGGCATATAGAGCGTGGTACCCGGGTCGATAAACATGTACTTCGTACTCCTCAGCAGGGATTAGCTCGATGTGGTTGGGGAGGCCGAACTTGGCTTTAAATTCAGCTAATTGCTTAGGCGCCATTGTAGATAGAAATTTTCCAGGCCCGCGTCCCTGGATCATTGAAAATCGGATTTGGCCTTAGGGTTGCGAGGGATGATCTCCTCCACTGATGGAAGAGTTTCATCCTCTACGTTGGCAGTTACACTCTCCCCGTGAGCAGGGAACAAAATTGCCAATGGAACGGCATGACTCCCTTCATCAACATCAGATGGGAAATTCGACATATTTATGAAAAGTAAAGAAGAACACGGGGAAGAAGTTTGGAATGTGGTATGGAGCAACGAAGCAGAAAATGGAAGTTCAGAGAGGAAGTTTAGATCCTAAAGTTTGGAAAAAATAAAGGTACAAATTCAGGTTTGGCCATCCCTATTTATAGAGATTAAGGCACCAAATCCGAAACGGTTTGTCATATTGAGCACCAAGCCCAAAACGGCTCATCATAATTGGCACTGGAATCGAAACAGCAGATACAATCAAAGGTTACGCACAAATCGATGCAATGCATCGGGAACTAGCATCATCATGATGTCACTCCCTCTCTTAGACCAGATGATTCCAACAAATCACCCGAGAAATGTAAGGGATTTGAAATACGCGGCCCGCATTGCTCGTTACAACGACCACGACCGATGTTATCTGTTCAGTGAGCTCGACCACGAAGACGGTCCTGAGCGATATTATCCGCTTATCAAACTCGCCCACGAAGGCGACCTCAATGAATGGAGGGACTAGTCAGCACTAAGACAGCCTTCGAAGGTTATCGGGTGTCATCAGTATGGTTTCAACAAAAGATGGGTTCAAGGTCGAAATGATCAGACAAAAGATAAGGGCTAGGTCGAGGAGTCAACAGAGATCGAGGTCGAGGACGAGTACCCTCCTTAACGGAGCACTAACGGCTAGTTTTGGGGATTTGACTTTAAAGAGAATATTCCTAAAATTGTACTATTAGGTTTTGTGGCACATGTCCTCTTATAAATAGAAACAGACATAGTTATAGAGAGGGAATTGGACACTTTTTTATAGCAAATATACCACTAGGCAGGCTGCCTAGTGGCTAATATATAAATAAAAACCCAAAATGGGTCCAAAGCTTACAAGATGTCCAAGCCAACATAGAAGTTGCACGAAGTTATTAGCTACTAAAAAGATAGAGAAGCTAAAGTCTAATGAACTGGCTATTATAACATTATCCGCTGAATGCTTCCTTCTCCTGTCAGTGTATGTGAATCCAATTGCCAGTGGCAAATACCAAGCAGCACCTATCAAGCTCTCACCAGGCGCCAGTGTATCCAGTCCATAGGCTAGAATGAATTCCAAATATCTCCACCACAGAATTGAAGCCAGCATAGTCTTCCAATCATTAGTGTTGCTACAATATGATTTCTATATGCAGTGTACTGATTGTATCCAAGTATAAATCATGTGGTTGATCCTCAATATTATCATGTAAAAAGCATGGCTACACCTATCTTGAGGCTGGCTTTAGGCAGGCTTTTCAAGGCAAAAGTCAGGCTGGGGCTGGCTTTAAGCAGGCTTTTCAAGGCAAAAGCCAGGCTGGGGCTGGCTTTAATCAGGCTCTTCAAGGCAAAAGCCAGGCTGGGGCTGGCTTTAAGCAGGCTCTTCAAGGCAAAAGCAAGGCTGGGGCTGGCCTTAAGCAGGCTTTTCAAGGCAAAAGCCAGGCTGGGGCTGGCTTTAAGCAGGCTTTTCAAGGCAAAAGCCAGGCTGGGGCTGGCTTTAACATATCAGAAGTAGAATAAATTGCACCATCCAATACCTGCTTATCACATTGGTCCTGTACACTATCAAAGCACCCCCAAAATGAGCATGTGACCATGCTAATACCACTGGAAAGTACCTTAATACAATACAGAACGAGACATAAAAACAACAAGCAGGTATGTGCAGATTCCAATCCTGTGAAGCTATCAATCTGGGGCTCTTCTTTTTGCTATTCTAACCCTAAGGTTAGGAGTTTGAGACTTGTCTAAGTTAATCAACCTCCTCCCTGCACTAGGCAGTTCAGAGAATGAGTGAAACTCAGTTGTACCTGCAAAAGAGAAAATAATGTTAGCTATAAAATGCGCCACTGAGTTGCCTTCTCTGAACACATGTTGAAAGATCACATTGAAGTTGCCCTTCATCTCTCTAATTTTCTTCACATCATTTGCAATTACCCAAGGAGGATCCCATTCCCATTCTATCACTTTCTTCATCACTAATGAATCAGTCTCCAATATGAGAAGATGAAGATCATGCTCCACACAGTATTCCAATCCTTGAAGAATAGCCTTAGCTTCAGCCACCACATTAGTTGTCACTCCCAGGTCTACTGCCCTTGCATACACCACATCACCTTCATCATTCCTCACACAAAAGCCTAATGAGCTAGGACCAGGATTTCCTTTTGAGGCTCCATCAGTATTGCATTTGTACCAACCATCAAAAGGAAGCTGCCATGTTACTCTTGTAGTGATCAATATAGGTTTATATCCTTCAAAATATTGAATTATGTCTGGCCATAATAATGTAATATTAGGTATCCAAGCATACCTCACCTTTGCCAGTTGATGCAATGTCCTATTGATCTCATAATCACCCTATTTGTCGACACTGAACCCCCATGTTTACCCGCATTTCTTGTCTTCCAGAGTTCCCAAGTGATGATAGCCGGTACTGCTTGAAACAATGGCTTTAGCTTTGGACAAAATTGAGCATACCACCAATGCCTTATAACATGCTTCAATTGAATCAACGGCACAGTAATTCCAGCAGCCCCCATGAACAATTTCCATACTTTAGAGGCAGTAGGACTTGTGATAAATATATGCTCAATAGATTCCTCTTAGGGCTGCTGACAACACCAACACCTAGACATCACCATCTGCCCTTGCCTCCTCCATATGTCATCAGTGGCTATTTTCTTCCTCCATAATCTCCACAAGAAGAAGGATATCTTAAATGGTAAGCCTAATCCACATTAACTTGAATTCCTGATTAGGATCAGCTTTATGCCTTAATATTTGCCAAGCACTGCTAACACTGAACTTGCCTGAAGGAGTTGACATCCAGTATGGCCTATCCCAGTATTCCTCACACCTTCGTAATGTACATTTAGCCTTATATGTTCTGCAATTTCCTCATTGAAGGTTTGATCTAGCAGCTGATCATCCCATGTTTCACCTTGCCGTAATTCTGCCACATCCTGAAGATCTTCATTGATTGGAAAGTCTTCAGGTAATACATGAAAAGGTGCACCCAATCCAGTCCAATTTTCATGCCAAAATTAGTTGTTCCACTCTTCAATTCCCATAGGATCTCATGTTCTACTTCTTCCCTAGCATTCAACATTTTTCTCCAAACATTAGACCCCCTTCTAAACTGCACCACCGTTGGTATCTCCTTCTTGCAATACTTATTCCACATGAAATTAGACCAGAAAGATTTTGTGGTCCTAAACCTCCACCATAGTTTAGCAAATAATGCCCTCGACACATCATGTAAGGACCTAAAACCTAGCCCCCCTTCCTCTTTAGGAAGGCAAAGATTTTGCCATGAGGCCCAATGTCTGCTTCTCCCTTCTTCCTTTGTGCTCCAAAAGAATCTAGCAAAAGTCTTATGAAGATGCTCCATGACATTTTTTGGTGGATGCAGGAACTGATAACATGTGGATTGGCATACTTTGCAACACACTAGTAATGAGTGTCGCCTTTCCTCCAAATGGCAGCAGCTTTCCTTTCCATGAATGCAATTTAGACTTTACTTTCTTGATAAGATCTTCATAATATTCCTTCCTCCTTCTAGTGTAGAAAACAGGACATCCCATATATGTGAAGGGGAATTTACCTTTTGCAAATCCTGTAATAGCTCCAACCGCCTGACACAATCCATTAGAAATCCTTGAATACATGTAGTATGAACTCTTATCTTTGTTGATCATCTGGCCTGATATCTTCTCATAGTTACCCAAGACTGCCATAATCTTACTCAAGGATGGAGGATGAGCAGAAGCAAAGATTATAGTATCGTCAGCATATGCCAAGTGGTTTAAAGGATCAGACCACTTAGGCATTCCAAATCCCACAAATGACTTGTCTTCAAATTGTTTATTCAAAGACCTGAAAAGTACCTCAGCTGACAGAATGAACAATGCTGGTGATAGAGGATCCCTTGCTTCACACCCCTTGTAGACTTAAAGAAACCTGAGGACTACCCATTCACCAATACTGAATACCAGTTATTTGACATCAAGTTCCACACCATGTTGATGAAGTGCTCAGAGAATCTCATCTTCCTTAGTACATGCAATAAGTACTTCCATGAAACCCTATCATAAGCCTTAGCCATATCATGCTTGATCACCACATTAGCTGGCTTTCCCCTTAACCTTATGTTAGGGATAATTTCTTGAGTCAATAAGATGTTCTCAAATATACTCCTACCCTTCACAAATCCGGATTGATTAGGAGATATTAGAGAAGGCAGAAAATTTTCCAATCTATCATGTAACACTCTAGACAAGACCTTGTTAATGAAGTTGCTCAAGCTAATAGGTCTTAAGTCAGAAAAGTTCTCAACTCTAGGTTTCTTAGGCAGCAACACTAGATTGGTGCGAGTGATGGATTTAGGCAGTGGAGCTCCTCCATAGAAGTGTAGCACCATGTTGTGTATATCAGCACCAATAACATCCCAGCATGTTTGATAAAATAGGCCAGTGAATCCATCTGGACCACTAGCACTCTCCCTACTAAGCTTAAAAACTGCTGTCCTTACCTCTTCAATTGTTGGCAATCTGCTAAGTTCCAAATTCTGTTCCATAGTGACCATCGAAGGTACATTGAGCAAGGAAAAGCCAGATGCATCACCTTCATTTGTGAACTGTTCTTGATAAAAGTCCACTGCAGCTGTAGCCAATTGCTCCTGGTCTTCAATCCATACCCCACTTCCACTTTTGATCCTCTTCAGCTGCAATTTCTTTCTTTTTCCATTGACATGATTGTGAAAGAAACTTGTATTCCTATCTCCTTCAGCAAACCAAGTCATCCCAGCTTTTTGCTTCCAATACTGCTCCTCAATACTCAAGTATTTCTTCAATTCAGATTGAGCCTTTTGAAGCACAATCCTGTTCTCAATTGTAGGCTCTACTTCAAACAACATCTCTTTCACCCTAACAATGTCCTCCAAAATAGCCAATTGCTTGAATATATCACCAAATGTTTCCCTGCTCCATTTTGACAGTGTTGCCTTCACCCTCTTGAGCTTCTGCTTGAACATCAAAAACAGATCCCCTATGAAATCAGCTTCCCAATTCTGCCTCACCACATCCATAAATGTAGTATGTTTAGTCCAAAAGTTCAAGAACCTGAAAGGCTTGACAAAATTGGTGGTCTGCTCCCCACATGTCATTAACAAAGGTGCATGATCTGATCCAGTTCTGATTAGATGTTCAACTTGAATAGTTGGCAACATGTTCTGAAATGGCAAATTCACAAAGATCCTATCCAATGTTTTGAATATACATGCAGCATTGGATCTCCCATTCCACCATGTAAATGGACTTCCTTTGTATCCTCGCTCAAACAAACCACAAGAATTTATACAAAATGCAAAATCCTCATATCCAGGCGGGTGTACCGGAAGTCCTCCTATTTTCTCATCTTCATGTAATATCACATTGAAATCCCCTCCTACCAACCATGGCAATTTCATATCACTTGATAAATAATACAAGTGATCCCACAATTCCAACCTCTCAATTGCTGAACATTTTGCATAAACAAATGTCACCATCATGTGCTGCCCTAGGTCATGGTGAAGCACTCTCACATTTACCTGTTGCTCAGTATCCTCCACTAATTCCCATTCCACCACTGCATCAAAGAACAACCATATTTGCCCATTAATATTTGCATAAGTCGTCTCCATATTCAACCTTCTTCTATATCTATCAATGAATCTCTTCTTTTGAAAAGGTTCCATCAATGCAAGTACACAAAAGTTATGCTCCATATTCATATTGATCACCCTAGGAAAGGCCTGTTGTGTATTCACAGACCTTATATTCCATATTAATGTCTTGATCATCATTTAGTTATAGAAGTTTCCCTCCTGGGAATAATTCTTAAAGGTTGTTGTGACTCTTTATTCTGATTCTTCTTTGTTTTCTTGCCTCCTTTAGCACTAGCTTTAGGTGATAGATCCCCATCCATAGCCACCTGTTTGAAGTTTTCTTCTGTTGATTCATTATCTCCCTCATCCTCCATAGGATTTTGTCTCATTAAGTCTTCATCAATTGGTGCCACATTGTGTGTAACTAAATCATGTAGATGTTGTAGTGGAGTCTTCAGTGGAACATTAAGCTGCAGCTGCATAATTTGATCAGTGCCATATTCCATAGGCACTTCCACTATTTCCCCAGATTCTCTTGGAACAATTGCGTGCTCATCATTATTTTCACTGTTATTCTTCGATCCTACTGTATCATCCCTAACCTTCATATTATCATGAAGTTTGTTCTCCAATGCATACACCGGAACACCATCTACATATACTAAAATCTTGCCAGTTGCACTAGGAACAGTGTTAACTATCGATGCTTCATCAGGTGACCCTAGCGCCAGGCCTGGCGTTGCCAGCCTAACGCCCGGGATACCTGGCTTTAGGCCTGGCATCGCCAGCCTAACACCTGGGGAGCTTGGCTTTAGGCCTGGCATCACCAGGTGGGCTGTTGTCCCTCACTTTGTCTCCTGTTGTCTTTGTCGTGCCTATTTGATCATCCTCCACCTCAATTGCATCACTCCCTCCAGCCTTCGTTGAGTTTATCTCATCAAGGTTCTCAAGCTGCCCAGAATCTGCAAATGTTTGAGACGACATATCTTGACATGATTGGTTTGTAGTCACATTGAGTTGCCTTAGCTCCTCTTTGCTAGTTCCAAACCTTCTATGAACCCAGTCGATTGTTGATTCCTTATTAGCCTTTTCATCAGTACTTTGATCACTAGGAACAATAGGATTAGCCTTAGCTAAGTTCCCATTATGCTGATCTTTCAACACTTTCTCAACTGTTTCCTTCTTCACACGCTTATGTTTTTGTTGATTATCTTCTCCACTGGTTTAGTATTAGCATCCTTCCCAACCATAACCCCAGAATTAGGATTAGGGCTTGAAGCTCCGGTATTTCCTTCTTTTTCCTTCTCATAGCCCTTCTTTGACTGATTTTCCCCATGATCCTTCTTCTTGACATTGCTTAGATCCTCACCTTTGCCTTCAGTAATTTGTAGAATAGGTTGATGAACTTCCTCAACCTCTAATGCATTAAACTTGTTCTTGGTTGCTACTTCCTCAAGTTTGGCCTTCCCTTTACCCTTATCAGCTTCCTTGCCTTGTTTGTTATCAACAATGTGACCCTTATTATCCCGTTGGTATTTGTTCTTCCTTGCTTGTATCAATTCCTGCTTGGCATGATTAGTAACAGGCTTGCCAACCACCTTTCCACTTGACAGAACCTTTGTTGAATTTGCTGTTGTACCAATTGCTTCAGTACTTACCACAATTATCTTATCCTTGCCTTGATCCTCAACATCTTCATCAAATCTCTTGTGTAACTCAGGATGAATTACCCAACATTCTGCCTCACTATGCCCTTGTTTCTTGCAAGGCTTGCAATATTTAGGCATATAATCATACTGTATCCTAATCCATTTAAACTCTTCTGGCCCAGATTCATCAGCTTCTTTAACAATCCTAATACGTTTAGGAAATTACCTAACAAATTAACTTCCACCTTCACCTTAGCACAACTAGGTCTAGTCCCATTTTGAGTTGCTAGGTCTACATGTAATGGGTTACCAACTGCACGAGCTAATGAAAATACACATTCCTTACCAAAGAAATTTGGAGGAAGTTCTGGAAAGCTAATCCAAGCTATGGCAATTGGAGTCTCTTCATCAGGTGTCCACCATGGATTCCATTTTGTACAACGCATCTGCCACATGTCTGATTGAGCCTTTAAGTAAAAAGCCGGCTTTGAAAGAAGATGAACATAATCCTCCAATAATGACAATCTAATCAACACATGATTATCTTCAATCAAGCCTACTGAGCAATGACCCTTAATCTCACATTGAATTGGAATCACTTTACGTAATTCACCAATAACAGGCTTTCCATACGAAAATTTCCAAAGAACTGCAAATTGAAGCCCTTGTTGTACGATGGATTGTTTCACTTCTTGCTTCTTCCACTTCACAACTGGTACTCCATGCAGGAACTCAACAGGTTTCAATGGTAGCGTAGCTAGGGTTTGCATGGGGGCATTAATGGTGGTAGGTTTTAGAAGTTTCGAATAATCCATGGGTTGGGGATTGTTGTTTGTAATTGTGGATGTCTGAGCGATGGTGGGGGAAGGTTGGGGGGCAGCACCGCCACTGGGGGTGGCCAGCCACCGGCCGGAGTGGCCATGGGAGGGCAGCGCCGGTTTAGGGTTAGCTAGAGAGCATTTTTTAGGGGATTGGACACTCATTTTTAAAAGAACAATACTTTGACATTCTCTAAAGATTCTTGTTTTATTACATACATACATACAAAAGACACATTTTTCTTGAGATCCTTATCTAACTTTTCTCCCACGATCCAAGGAGAACCCGAATACTCAAAATCTCATCAATCATTTATCATTGTCAGAAGGAATATCACACAATTTCATCCCTTTTTCGGTCATCTCTGTTACATTTATTTACACTAATTTTTGGACACGTGCGTTATACGTATATCTCATACTCATCAGTATAAATATTTTAAAAGTATTGAAGTAAGAGTGCAATAGAAGTTGAAAGGGAAAAAATACAAGCTCTAAGTTTGAATGTAAACCTATTCGACCGATATTTATTGTCATTGTAATGCACAATCATACAGAGAAAATGCTTTTGATTGAATTTGAAAAGTAATGTTCAGTTTGATTGAATTTAAATAGTAATGTTCAACTTTAATTACGATGTTCTCTTATTGTTAAGTTACCTATTGTTAATCCTTAGAGATTTTGTAAGTTTTTGGTGACCTATTTATAGATAAGGTTCACATAAGGAGCTAAATTAGGATACCTGATCCATCTCTCAGCGATAACTGATTTTCTGGATGAATGAAAGAAATGCGCCACCTTATGGCGTAACTTTATTTAAAAACTTCAATTACGCAAATCTTATAATTTATCAAGTATTCAACTTGACAGTAAATATTTATTTTATATATCAATACATAATTTAAATATGAACTTGAGCAATGTCGGCTATGTTTCCAAATATTTCACGTCTAAAAGTTTTTGCTTTTATTGGGAGAAATTGTAGCATCCTCCTTTTTACAGCCATATACATACCAAGAAGTTTTTGTTGAATGAAAGTAGTATTTTGTATAAGCTGTACAGAAATTCAATCTATGTATGCCTTTCTTAGGATGGCCAGGAGATCATTACCGATATTATGATGTAAACCTACACAGAAGTAGAGTTATTATATGTTATAGAGATAATAGTTGTTAGAATATTTAATTGGTGTATATCATGCATAATTGCACATACATGTGCCCTTTATCTGATCCAAAATTATGGGTCCTTTCATCTGTGAAATTGTCGAAAGTAAATATTAGTTGAATTATATAAATATAGTTGTATTATGAAACATAGCACGATCATGTGTGAAATATTGGTAATTTGATGTTTAGTACCTCATGGTTATACGCTATTAGATTAGAAGAAAATAATCTATCTATCTATATTATTATAAAAGCATGAATACAATCTCGGTTTATAAAAATAACCTTATAATATTAAGCATAATAACTCATAATAAAAGGACATAACCGGAATTCTAGATATTAGCCTTATAATCCTATTAGTTTTAGGTTACTACTCACGCTAGCTTCTAATTAAATGCAAAAGGACTTATCGTTATTTTCGTGAGTGAAATTTTCATTGAATTTGATCCATTTACTTATCCACATGATAATTTTTACAATTTGGTTCCAACATGATAGAGGAACAAATTTTGTGTCTATTTATAATTCTATATTTATTAACCGGAAGAACTCATAGGGAAATGACATAACTGCAACAACCTATTTTTTGAACTACAATATGTTCTATGTTAATTTTTAATATATAAAATTAATAAAATCTTGTCTATTAAATTCTTATTAAAAATATGTAGGAAGGTTTAATAAAATCAATTTCATAGGAATCCTCCGAATTGGTAATACATTACCACTACATAATATCCCATACGAAGAAAAAATAAAAGTAATATTAAATAGAATGCATAAAGATTTAAAATTGAGAAGAAAAAAAATACCCCCACGATAATATATTTTTATATTATATTTGAACTATTTTCCTACTCAAATAATATTTTTTAATCAATTTTTCATGTAATATTGAAAAATACTCAATTATTAAATAACAACTAAGAAAATATTTAAGAATATAAATGTGTGAGAAAGAGAAAAAAATGGTTGGTGAGAGTCAATAAAACTAATGATTCTACAAACATAAAGATCTAAAAGTGAAATGTCATATCAATCTTTTACTCTTTGAAAATAAAATTTATAGTGGATAAAATTATAATTAAGATTAAATATTCAAAACAAGAGATGAACTAATATTAAGATCTGAATCAACATAGAATAAATTATTTTTATGTTAAAATCAAATAATTAAATCTTTTAATTAATTATTTAGCATGAGAATCCAATTCAATTACTTTTTTAAATTCATCATATGAGTAAAATTCTTATTCAAGTTAAAAAAGATCTTAAGGTACATAACTTTATTCCATAAAAAAGAGCGTTAAACACAAAGTAAAAAGGTTAGTATATCATTAAGAATCAAAATACTATATGCAAGTGTATGAGGAAGCACAATCAAAGCTAAATCTTAAACAAGAATACGTTTTCAAGACTATATTATAAAGAGTCGACTCTGGTATAACGCGATTATTCTTTGTAGATGCCTCTGGCGGAAT